AGCATAATATACGTTCGTTAACTGATGTTTAGTTAGGACGTCTTTAATGTTTTTAAAAAGAAAATTTGTGGAGTTTAATAAACTGACTAAATTTTTACAATGTGGCTTCCAATCCATATGTTCGTCGAGTGTAATACCTAGAAATTTTACTGGTTCCGTGATACATTTGAGGTATACATCATTAATCTTTACAGATAAGGGTTCACAAATCTTTTGCCTATTATGGAAACGAATTGTCCTAGTTTTTTCACTATTTAAATATAGGTCATTCATGTTGAACCAATTGTTGAGTGACTGCAAAACTTCAGTACATTTGTTATTTAAACTTTCGTCATTTTTTTGCGATATTATTAACGAGAGATCATCAGCATATAGGGAAAAGCAGATGTTTTGTAATACCGAGTCAATGGCATTTATATACAAAATAAATAATAAAGGTCCAAGGATGGACCCTTGGGGCACCCCTGTACCAACTATTTTATACTTAGAGGCAACACATGATTGAAAGTCATCTCCACGATATTGTATAGATGTAAATTGTTTCCTACCATTAATGAAAGAGTAAACCCACTGCAAAGATTTACCTCTGACTCCATAGTCTGATAGTCGGCTAAGTAATATTTTATGATTTATGCAGTCGAATGCCCTGCTGAGATCACAGAATATCCCAACAGGACACTCTCCAGCTTCAATGAAATTAATTAAATCATTATATAAAGAAAAAACAGCTGACATTGTTGATTTGTTTTCACGAAAACCAAATTGTTTGTCTGTCAGAATACCAAACCTATCTAAAAAAGTAACAAGACGATACTGAAAAGCATATTCAAAAATCTTTGAAAAAGAGAACGATATGCACACAGGCCTATAGTTTTCCATGGCGTTACGCTCACCTTTCTTATATATTGGGACCACCTTTCCAACTTTTAGTATATTTGGAAAAGTACCCGTAAGAAAAGACAAATTTACTAAGTACGTAAGTGGCTGAATCAAAATAGATATTACTCGTTTTAAAAGGAATGTAGGCATCTCATCGCCGAAGATTTTTTGTTTTTTAATTTATTCCTTAATAAATTGTGTAGCTCATCCTCGATATTATATTAACTAAAAGTTCATTTTAGTCACAAAAAACAACCTATAAAACATCTAAAAACCTTTTAGTCATTTTTCAAGAATACAAAAAGAAATAAAAAGACCTGGAAGATCATTTTTAATTCTACTTTCTTATGCGAATAACCTACCATATTTTAATTCATTTGAATTTCGCTTAACATACGTATTCTACATTTTATATTTCACGATTTTCTGATACAATTTAATTTAACTAGGAATCTAACGCGCCTCTAAACAGCAGATATTTGGCAACACCACGATACTTATTCTGTGGCAACACTGTAAGAAATTAACCAGCAACTGGTGCGGAAATATTTGTTCTGAAATGTGAACGATGAAAAATTGCATTTGAAATATTATATTAATTGAAAAAAAACCATACCTCATCGGGGATCGAACCCCGAACCATTGGATTCCAAAGACAACGTCTAGCAAATTACGCCACCGAGACCCTATTTAAATGTTTGCATGACACGGCTTATATACTTAATATTTTCCTCATGAGGTACAAATAATTATAAAGATGAATATATTGGTAGACGGTTGAATACTAATAATAATATTATTGACATATGTTGAAGAATTATCAAAAATATAAAAAAATAAATTGTTGCATTTTTAAAAAAGACCTTTTTAATTGCGAGCCTAGAAAAGTAGTGCTGCAAAGTATTTTTTATGCTAGTGATTTTAATGTTGTTATGTTTATTTAAACCCCGAGTGGAAATTACCATGTCGGACCAGCTTAGAAGTGGATTATTTTAATTATGTAAATATTACATCAGTAAATGTCGAACGGTCGTAAAGTGTTTGTTATCTGAAAAATTTTTCTAATGTTAAATTTGTTACCTATTCTCCTCAATTTCTCCGATAATACAGGAATATACGAGTATTTGTATTGTTTCAATATCCTTAAAAACTCTTTCAACAAAATTTTCAAGGTTTTGATTGTTTATGAGTACACTTTTTATGAATTTCAATTCATTATTAAAAATTTGATGATTAGAATTAAAATTTAGATATTTGTCAGATTGTTTTC